ACAATGTTAAGACAGCTGTCTGTGATATCCCACCCCGTGGCCTGAAGATGGCCGTTACCTTCATTGGCAACAGCACGGCCATCCAGGAGCTGTTCAAGCGCATCTCGGAGCAGTTCACGGCCATGTTCCGGCGCAAGGCCTTCCTGCACTGGTACACCGGCGAGGGCATGGATGAGATGGAGTTCACCGAGGCCGAGAGCAACATGAATGATCTGGTGTCCGAGTACCAGCAGTACCAGGATGCCACGGCCGACGAACAGGGGGAATTTGAGGAGGAGGAGGGCGAGGATGAGGCTTAAGAACTTTTCAAACACATCTTGCATCCTTAGTGAACTTCTGTTGTCCTCAATCAAGCATGGTCTTTCTATTTGTAAACTATGGTGCTCAGTTTTGCCTCTGTCAGAAATTCACACTGTTGATGTAATAATGTGGAACTCCTCTAAAAGTTACAGTATTGTCTAAGATATCTATACTAATTAAAAAAAGCATGTGTCCAAAACCTTGTGGTCTCTTTATTCTTTCAGTAAATACTTCTTGAATATTTTTCTGGGTTTAGTAATTTTAACAAAATAGAATTTCTAAATGTTTTAATTAATGGCTTTTCTTAGAGGCCAAAAGAGATAAAAATACATATTTTTTTCCTCTTCACTGGACCAAAGTATTAATCTAATAAACTTAAGGGAGTGAATAGAGATTTGAGGAAAAAGCAAACCTCCCTTTTGCTGTAATTAGAGCAACCCTCTGAAAATGTGGACTTGAGGACATTAAGCAAAGGACCTTCTCCTGTTTCTTTACTTCCCTTTGAACGTGATAAATACAAATAAAAAGACCAGTGAGCCCTTGTATCTCTCAGATAAAAGGTGCAGCATAAATTCAAGATGGCCTAAAATAAGTCACAAACACTACAAATGCTTCATTTAAGATTTATTTGAAAGTAATTCACGATAGGAAGTTTTTTTAAGACAATGGTAGAAATTCACAACTTAAAAAATATGATTTAATTTCTTTAGTGCTTAAAGCTAGAGGATGTTTTAAGTATCATTATTTATATTGGACTAGCAGCAGCTGTAGGTGAGAGTAGAAAGTTTGCAAGATAGGTTAACTGAGGTGTCACTCGGGGGTGGGTTTCAAAGGCAGCAACAAGCCTAAGCCCCCACACTAAAGAATTGCCAGGTGACATGTTCTCAGGACATTTTCATTGTAAGAAATCTTCTGCTAATTTGTTGAATTCATTCGCAAAACGTATATGCAGGTTGTGCTTACCTCCTGGCATCAGATGCAACCTAAAAAGGAAAAGCTTATGATTGATGGCACACCATTTAAAATCTCTTACCCTCCCTAACGCTGCATGGAAATCTAAAATGAAAACCTGCCACATTTTTTCATGACTACTACAGGGGAGAAAATAAAAGGTATATGGTATAAACTTTCCCTGAATACAGACTCAGAGTGTAGGACTTGTATGGCGGTTGACTTGACAGTAACAGCACACTCACTGTATTTGGAATTGTATTATGTGACAAGTGGTTTAACTGTAAATCTGATTGATAGTGGGGTATATGACTTGGTGGTTACCTAAGGAAAAAAAAATCCATTTTAATAAGGTTGATTTTAAAAAAGGTAGGAAAGATGATAAAATACAAAATATCCAGAACCCACTGGATTGGAACAGGTGAGTTTGGGGCATCTATGTAATGGAAAATTCCAAATCAATTCAGCTACCACCAGTCTGTCATTTTTGGAGGATTAACTATAAGCCATTAGATGAAGGGTGAATAAGTGTTCCTTAGGACTGTGAGGGTGGCCAGAGCCTGCATCAGCAACCTTTTGTTCTGTAGCTGTCACTATATGTCTTTTGTGGCAAACCTCACTGTCCTTGTAAGGCTTCTTCATTTCAATAGGGTTGGTCAAACTTGGCTGGTTTGCGATTTCTTTAATAAAAGCAGCCTTCTCTGATGTCTATATTTTATTTATCGGCTATAAAAGTGAAGAAATAAAGTTTTAAACAAAACTTCTAGGATATACATGCAAGTTTGAGCTGTTTTGTCCACAATGATAACTGGACATTAAAAGGACCATATTGGGGCAAAACGCTAGTTACACTAGCTACACTGCCTAATTCTCTGATCTTTCACCACCTGGGGGTTGAGAGCTCTAAGGACCTCAGTGAGCACGATGGAGGACATGGGAAAGGGTGCTGGGGAACAGAGCTGTGCTTGGACGACGTCAGGCCTCTTGCAACTCAATTACATAGGAGATGCTACCAAGGTAGTCAAGATAATCTACTTGAGAGAAGGCTATATTGTTGGCATCTTTCTGAGGCTCTTGAGAAAGTTACTAATGCCTTTTATGGTAACTAGAACATTCCAAATTCAATTTTAATGCTGTTCAGAAAAGAAGGGCAAGCTGCACCGACCCCAAAGATAGAATCCCAGTTGCCCCACACAAGTTACAGGTCTTGCAGGGATGCTCAAGGCCTCCGGTTTTAGAAAACAAAGAACCACCTGCCAAGATGCTGAAAGGTCATAGAAGGGCATGTCTAGGATAAACTGCATCTTCTAATGTGCACGAAGAGACCTCAATCTGCCCAACTTGCGAGTCCTCCTTTGTAGATAGCCACACTGGTTATCACATTCCCTACTCCATTTCTACAATTTGTTCAGATTCCCCAGGAAGGAGAGATACCAGCTATGAATCTCTTCTTTTTAGCCTCAGTGTTGACTGCACTCTTCCATTAAAATACTCTAGGTCTTAGGGAAATAGAATTTAGGTCACCTTCATTAAATATGTGGGAGACCCATTCTGAGGCACCTACATTCAGAACTGCACTGAATTATGGATGGGTGGACAGACAGATGAGGGTATGTAGAAAAGTACTCTTCTCCTTGATACCTTTGGGGGTCATTTCAAGGTCCTTAATATACTTTCCTCCTTTAGTTCTGACAGAAGGGCCACTATACTTAAAGTGTATTATGTGTTCCTCTTTGGGAACAGCACCACACCAGGCAGGAGTAAATATATAACCATCAAAGTAATGTAACAATTGTACTGCTGATCTAGATTTTCACCCAAATAAGAAAAAGATCTAATCACATGCTCCATGGAGAGTGGTTTTCAAGCAATCACATCTCCCAAGAAAATTAGTAGGAAATCCCTCAATGCCAAACACATGGTTTAACTGGAAATGAAGGGGCCTCCGAAAGGGTAAATAAAAGTTCCTATTTGCCAGGGCAGGTTCCTCTTTGTATTTGGCAACTTTAGAAGAGATGTGACTCTAGATCCTTTGAGAAATTAAAATGTCTAACCTCACAGTATAAATTCAGTGGTCACTTTACTTCTGCTTGGAACTTCTAGAATCTTGTACTTTATGGGCAAGGTAGTGAAGGAGAAATGGTGTTACCTTCTCTTACTTAATTTAACCTATAGCTTTCAAATCAAGCTCTGAGAGCTACAGATAGGAACAAGGTCATAAGTAATGAGCTGTAGCATTTTCTTTCCTTCACTTTGGATGTCATGAAACTATACTTATGAACCCATAAGGTTGCCAGTAAGTCTGTGAGCATTTTCGTTTTAGTTGAAAAACAAGTAGGCTGCTGGTTCTTTGTACCAGGATCTGTTCCATTATGAAAACTGGATAGCAGTGTCGTTAATAGGGAAGCTCTGTCACTTTCAGGCAATCTTTCCAAGGCCATTCAAACCTGGTTGCCAACAACAGCCCTTGTTATTAATTCTTTATTCTCTGCTCCTTCTAGAAAGCCCCATTTAAAGAAAAGGTAATAGTGAGCGGACCACAATCTCCTTCAAGCCGGTAAAGGAGGGGTCGGGGAGAGGACATGATGGGCAGGCTCTTTCCCCTCAGGCCAAGAGCCGATCAGGCATTTGGGTTTGGGGGAAGCAGACCTCTCACTGAGAAGTTCTTTTTCTCAAGCAGAACCAGGTCTTACGCATTGGAAAGAAACAAAACTCCCTTGGAGACTGCTTTTTCAGTAATGTTACAGTTTGGAGTGTACTACTCCTTGGCTGTCAGGATCTGCTGGATTAATGCTTTTAAATGGTATGTGGAAAAGAAAGCCTTGCCAAACCTGCCGGGACTACAGAAACCTAGCTGAGGCCTTTTGGCTGGACTGGAAACTTTCTTTTGGTCACAGCTGAATTGGAGGTGATATCACAGTGTTAAAGGTATGGACTTTATGGGGTCAAAACATGTCCGATCTAACTAGCCTGGGATCTATACTAAGTTATATCATCTCTCTAAGCTATAATTCCTCATCTGGAAGATAGGGATAGTAACAGTATCTACCCCACAAGGACGGTTCTGAAGATGAAATGAGATAACACATATAAGGCACACAACACAGGGTCTTTGGGCACAGTTAAAAGTTAATAAACATTTGCTATTATTTTATTATTCTCTTTATATTGCAATTTACAATGTACAAAAGTCCTTATGAAGGTTCTAATTATGTGCAGCATGTTAATGAAATTCTCTGACTTGGGAGCACAATTTATTTGTATTAATGGCTAAAACGATCAATTCCGATTGGAAGATTCTTACCTCAATAGTGATTTTACAGAATGTCATGGGTAAGGTTTTTCTAGAAAGGATGAGACCCCACTCTCTGAAATACAAAGGACTCAGCTTTGTAAGGACTAGATTAATCCTGTACCCCATCGAGAAGTGAGTCTTGAGCTGACTGCTTTCCCTTCAACTATAGCAGCAAGCAGGCAGAGATGAGGAACTAGATGAGGAACTACCTGGGAGGAGAAGGAAAGGGAGAGGTAGGGCATGCCAGTTAGGAGAGGGGAGCCATAACCCTCCCAAGGCTGGAGGTGGCCTAGATATGAAACTGAGGAAGCCATCTTTTTTTCAATGTCATCCTATCCCCTGTATCCTGGCTCACTTTACTACAGAGCTGGAAACGAACCTTTGTCGCCAGCATGAAATCTTTTTCACCTAGGTCAATTCACTTCATTGCTGCTAGTGGTGTGGCTCCTGTTGGCCTGCCTTGGAGGTCTGGTGGTATCTTACCACTGGTGGCCAGACCTGAAGAGACCAGAAAGCTACAGAAAGAGACCATTCCTCCCTTCCGTGATTCAGACAGAGGACAGCATCTAGACTACAACCTAGATAGCCCAGGCACAACCCACTGCCACCCTGCTGGCACACCTTCCAGTGAGCCCACCAGAAGGCCAAGACATTTGTGGAGAGCAGCACATGCCCACTGCCCTCCCCCATATCAACTTTATTATGATGAGTTTATGTATCAACTTGACTGGACCGCAGATGCCTAGATCGATCAAACATTATTCTGGGTGTTTCTGTGAAGGTGTTTTTGGTTGAAACTGACATTTAAATCAGTAGCTTGAGGAAAGTAGGTGCCCTCCCCAATGTGGGCAGGCCTTATCCAATGATGGCCTGAAGAGAACTAAAAGGCTGACCCTCCCCTGAAGGAATTACTAAGAGGAAATTCCTCCTGCCTGATTGTCTTCGAACTGAGATATCAGCTTTTTCACACCTTTAGACTCAACCTAAGACATCAGCTTTTCCTGGTTCTCAGGCATTCAGAGTCAGACTAGAACAACACCTGTCACCTCTTCTGGGTCTCCAGCTTCCAGACTCTGCTCCAGCCCGCCAACTGCTGGACGTCTCAGCCTCCATAACTGCATGAGCCAATTCCTTATTCCTTATAGAAAGTAAACCTCTGTGTGTGTGTGTGTGTGTGTGTGTGTGTGTGTGTGTGTGTGTGTGTGGTGTATTTATGTATCCTGTCGGTTTCTCTGGAGAACTCTGACTAATACACCCACGCACCTATTCTAATAATGGTGCTGAATGTTGGTACAGAGGGCAACTTGCCTTTGACCAACTGTCAAGCTATACCCTGGCTGTCTCCTGGGACCCCTGGTCACCTGCGCCCACACTGGCATTCCATCCACAAAAGTGGCAGCTGCTGTATATTGAGCTCATACTAAGGCTTAAATGTACAAATATTCACTCCTTCCTCAAAAACATTTTGAGATGATAGATATCATCATCCCTATTTTACATACAAGAAAATGAAGTAAAGAAATATATGTATACTGCTTAAGGGCACACAGTGAGAGACAGAGCCTCGTGACCTCTGCTGGGCCTCTAATTCCTGAGACATGACCATCTCCTCAGAAACATACTATTATGGGCTGAACTGAATCCCCCCAAATTCATATGTTGAAGTCCTAACACCAGCACTTTATTTTGATATAGGTCTTTAAAAAGGTGATTAAGTTAAAATAAGGTCATTAGGGT